CCCTCCCCTTAAGTAGCCACTGTCGTCAGTTGTATGTGTACCGGTATAGATCTACATAGAGAGAGAGAGAGATATATAAGTAGGTTTTGATTTTGTCTGAGTGTTACAAATTACAATAGTTCAGTCCCCATGGACACAGACAGACACAGACAGACACAGAGACAGACACAGACAGACACAGACAGACATAGACAGACAGACACAGAGACAGACATAGACAGACATAGACAGACAGACACAGACATAGACAGACACAGAGACAGACACAGACAGACAGAGACAGAGACAGACACAGACAGACAGACACAGAGACAGACATAGACCAACATAGACAGACACAGACAGACATAGACAGACACAGACAAACAGACACAGACAGACAGAGACAGACGCAGACAGACAGACACAGACAGACAGACAGACATAGACACACACAGACAGACAGACACAGACAGACATAGACACACACAGACAGACAGACATAGACACACACAGACACAGACACACACAGACACACACAGAGACACACAGAGACAGACACAGACACACACAGAGACAGACACACACAGACACAGACAGACACACACACACACAGAGACAGACACAGACAGACAGACATGGACAGACACAGAAACAGACAGACACAGACACAGACAATGTACAGAATTATGTAGAATATAGACAACTGGGACTGGGACCACTGGCACAAACACACACACATATACACATACACACACACACATACACACACACACATATATACACACATACACACACACACACACACACACATATACACACACACACATACACACACACAGACACATATACACACACACACACACACACACATACACACACACACACACAGAGGGAAACATGTGTTGTACATATGACCTGTTGTAGACTGCAGTTCTGGAATGCCAAGTTATAGAATGGAATACACACTTACACACACACACTGACATCTACACGCACACACTGACACGACACTTCCACGCACACACTGACACCAACCCGCCACACATTCTCTCCCATTAGTTTCTAGAATGTCGATCCCATCGAGTTGACACAACTTGTTGTTGGGGGAGGCGGAAAATACGCGTGCGTGGTTTTGATTTTATTGGCACATTTCTGCAATTTCTGTTTATTTGCACATCTTTGCAATTCCCGTTTATTTGCACATCTTTGCAATTCCCGCAATCAATGGGATTGTACGCTGCCGTCCACCGTCACATGGGACAATCAATGGGATTGTACGCTGCCGGTCCACTGTCACATGGGACAATCAATGGGATTGTACGCTGCCGGTCCACTGTCACATGGGACAATCAATGGGATTGTACGCTGCCGGTCCACTGTCA